TATATCTATATACAATGGAATAATAGAATTTATAAGAATATAAAATAGTATAGGATCTATATCTATATCTATATCTATAAGCAATGTATATGGAAAAGAACAACGTTGGCATAGCAAGATCAAAAATAGGATTTAACAAATGAAATGTACAAAATAAGATAAACAAGACAAATAAGAAAGAAAGGCAAACCATAGTCGTATGTTAAATATTTGTGTGTTTTGTTATATCTAGTTTTTGTGACTTATATAAGTATGTGGTATGCATACAGTAGGATATGTCTGTATATTTTGGATGTTGTTTTAATTCTATTAAGAAAATATTTTTTAATAAATAAATAAATAAAATGTTGTTTTGTGTGCCTTCAAGTTGTTTCTTACTTATGCCAACCCTATCATGGGGTTTTCTTGGCAAGATTTGTCCAGAGGGGGAGGGAGATGTCTTTGCCTTCTTCTGAGGCTGAGAGAGTGTGACTTGCCCAAGGTTTCCATGGCTGAGTGGAGACTCAAACCCATAATTACAGTCCAGCATTCAAACCACTACATCAGTGATTTCCAAACTTTAACTCTCCAAGTATAATTTGGCTCCAACTCCCAGAATCCCCAGCCAGCTTGGCCAATAACCAGGGATTCTGGGATCTGAAGTAAAAAAACAAACAAACATCTGGTGGACCACAGTTTGGGAACCATTGCACTACACCATGTTGGCTCTACCTTAAGGAATTGTGTTTGACAATGGGCAAGTCACACTCTCTCAGCCTCAGGGGAAGGCAATGGCAAATCTCTAAACAAACTTTGACAGTTATAGGTGTCCCCCATGATAGGGGTCAGAAATGACTTGAAAGCACACAACACACACAAATAATGCTTCCTCCAGTGTTGTGGGACTGCAGCTCCCATCATTGCTCATGGGCTAGGACTGCAGGGAGCCGCAGTACAACAGCACCTGGAGCATGGGACTAAACTAGTTTCTTTTAGGTCAATTTGTTGTTGTATGACTTTGAGTCGTTTCCAACTTGTGGCGACCCTAAGGCCGCCCTATCACAGAGTTTTCTTATCAAGATTTGTTCTGAGGGATTTTTACTTTCCCAAGGCTGAGAGAGTGTGACTTGCCCAAGGTCAACCAGTGGGTTTCAATGGCTGAATGGGGGTTTCGAACCCTAGTCTCCAGAGTCACAGTCCAGCACTCAAACCACTACGCCATGCTGGCTTTATATTAAGGAACTATCTGGGTCCAAGTCATACTACCTCCAATCCTGTGGGAATGCAGCTCTCATTATTGCTTGTCAGCTAGGACTGCTGGGAGCTGCAGTACAACAGCATGGAACTAGAACTAGTTTCTTTTAGATCAGGGGTAGGCAACCTTTTTGAGCCGGGGGCCGGGTTGCTGTCCCTCAGACAATTAGGGGGCTGAAGCACCAAAAATAAATAAATAAAAATAAAAATAAAATAAAAAAAATATGCATGCACACTGTCTCAGCCCCAGAAAAGCCATGACAAAACCCCTGTGGCGATTTGCCAAGAAAACCCCAAGAACAAGTAATAACAACAATAATTAATATCATCATGGCGGATGGCGGTGGCAGCAGGACCAGCCTAGGGCCGGTCCAAAGGCCTCAGGGGGCCGCATCTGGCCCCCGGGCCTTAGGTTGCCTACCCCTGACCTAGAGATTTCTAGGGAGAACATAATAATAAAATCTGTGAATAATCAAATCCACAAAAGTCAGAGCTACGAATGTGGAGGAATGACTGTATAGGAATACGCCAGTTAACAAAGCCTCTGACAAAGAAGCTCCTTTTTACAAAGTCTTTTTAAAACATGCCCAGTCCTTCTTTTCCACCATGTCTAGCTGGAATGTTTTTTAGCAGCATCAGCGCTGGAGGAATAGTAGAGGCAGGCTAGAGAAACACAAACCTTTGGTGCATGCCTGTAGTAAACAACTTTGCAAAAGTATCTGCTGGGAAAGAATGGGATTCAACTGCATCTGGTCCTACTGTACCTGTGAGCATCTGCCCAGGATGAGGGCCTGTCCTCCTTTTCCAGGACATGTCCTACACTTCAACCGTCTGTCCAGGAGGAATCCCAAAATGTCCTCCATTTTGACCATGACTAAGAAATATTAATTTATATTTGTATGAGTTTTTTTTAACCTTTCTTTTCTGTCCAGGAGGAATCCCAAAATGTCCTCCATTGACCATGACTA